CAAAAAAAGACAATTTTTTAACTGCACCATCTAATTTCAATCTTACTAGTTTTCCTATTAAAAGGCAAAAACTGCCGTAAAGCTTATCTAAGAGAACATTTATTTTCTTTATACTAAAATAAGCAGAAGTTTTTGATAAATAATTTGTAACTTTATAGGTAAAGATTAAAACAAAAGAAAAAAGGAAAAAATCATAAGGAAAGCTCAGATGGTATTTGTATAACGTAGCAAGTGGTAAGTAAGGTTACCCTAGGCATAATAATGACAGAAAATAGCAATAATCAAAGTCACTTTGACCCTTTTGAAAATCTAGAGAATAAAAGATTCCTTATTACATGATTATCCTATGTCAACTTCCCCATTGTCATCATTTTCCCACATTCAGTCATATCTTGAAGAAGATGATACAAGACTCGTTTTAACAAAAAGAAAAGCTACCAATTAGTGTCATTCAACTTTATTTTATTTTCTGCTGTTTATGTTTTAGTCAAAATAAAAGTCTTATTTTGAACACTGAACTCTGCTTTGGTCAACAATTTCTCCTCCTTAAATAGGGAATATAAATGATTCTTAAGCATTTGCCTTCTCTCTCCACATGCTAGCATTAAAGTTTTTTCAAAGCCAATGAGGAGAATTTGGGCCGGGCCTTAACTTTTAAAAGTTATACTCCACTTTATGATGGGGTTATCATATTTAGCCCTTTCAGGTCTTGAATGCAGTTACTAATAGCTTGTTTAGAGAAACTTTTAAATCAGTTTATTTTGGAAGGCGTTTTTCTCATAATTGCTTTTTAAAAAGAAGAATTAACTCAAATTGTTGCCTACTCAATCAGTTAAACTAAAAATTACGTGTTGAGGTATAAATATGCATAATTTATGTATTATATGTTTATAATTATGTATAAACTATGTATATGGCTAGAAAAAATAAATAATGAATATGACTGGCTATTTATGTAAAGATCCTTTTTTAAAAAGTACTTTTTGATTAAAAAAAACAATTTGTGCTTGGTTGATTAATTTAAAAAGTATTTTTGAGCAGTAATTAGTGTTGACCAAACTTTAAAAAAGTATTTCTAAGTGTATTTTTCTCAAAAATACTATTCAAGAAAGTATTTTGGGGATAAACTACTTTTTCCTTCCTCCAAAATCTGTGCTTCTATTCAAAACATTTTTTTCTTTCTAAAAGTTTGGTCAAACACTTTAACTGTGGCAATAAGCATTTTGGGCAAATAAGAAGCTTGGTCAGGCTATAATTCTTCTTCCTTTTTCCCCTCTTTCCTTCGGTTATCATTTTCTGAAACGTCACAGGAAAATACATTAAGGGTTGAAGAAAATTAAAAGCTCAAGGTATAGAAAAAATAATTTCAAAATCTTAATGTACGGTGAAAATTGTTACCGCGTGAAACGAGCATTAAAGGTAAAATTCCAGCAAATTCAAGAGCTTAAAAATAAGTGGTAACTCTATCCATAGCCTAGTTTTTCATTATACAGTTAAATCTCTCTATAATAGTCTCGTTGTTCCAGATATTTTTGGATGTTATAGCGAATTGTTGTTATAGAAAATATATATTATAACGGAATATAAAATTTGGTTTCGAAAAAATTTGACTTTTATAGTGAAGTGTTGTTATATAAGGATGTTATTATAGAGAAGTCTGACTGTAACTTACTCTAACGCATGAAATTATTGCATTTTATGAAAGAAATGTGTTTGAAAAACATGATGGGACAAGCTTATAGTATATAAAAACATTATGCATTTGATAAAATGTTCACTTTGTCTATTGAGATGTATCCCATGCATGACTTCATGATGAAATCAATGCATGTATTTCACATGAGATCTTTATGTAAAACCACTTGATGACGCAAGTGTTAATATGATTTTGACTTGAGATTCATATGTATATGTATAAAACAGTGATTCAAGTGTAATTCTGAATAAGATGAGAATAATAAGAATGTCTTTAGAAAGTCATTGGGAGGAAGCCACTAGAGATGACGTAAAGGGACTTTGCCAGCCGTAGTGAAGTTGTGGATGAGATTATGGACATGAGCTATCCATAATGAGGCCGTGTGGACGAGATATGAACACACATTACTCTAATGAAACCGTAAACAATAGCAAAGACACGAGCCAACCATTCATGACAAATACGGAATCAAGATTTGAAGTTATGAGTTTTAAATTTATCATTCAAGTTATTAGATTCACAATTAAATATTTTGTATATATTTAATAAATTTTCAAATATAAATACGAAACTTAAGTAAAAATTACTAAATTCGTCCGAACTCGTATATATTCTAGCGCCCCTTCTTGGAGGAGGCCATGGACGAGAACGTACCGGTATAATAGATTTGTTGTACAATAGAGTGCCTGTACGGATTAATAAAAAACTTGATTTTTTACCGTGTTCCTTAAGCGTAAAGAAAATAAGCAATACAATGAACACGGTGATTTTTACATGGAAAATCATCCGGCTCAAAAGGTGCAAAAACTACGACCTACCACGTAGCATTTTCAACTCTAACTCCACTAGAACAATGAGCCAAAAATTATCAATTACAAGACTGTAATTTAATACTCTCCAGTACTCCTACTACTCCTATTCGATTGACAAGTTACTCTAACTTGTAAAGCAAAATATTCACTCCAACTCACTAATTGTTTATGACGTTTGATTATAACTCAATTTCCTAAAACACATTCACTAGACTGACTCGGAAGAATACAAAGAAAGTACTCAACATAAGTAAAAATAACTTATGACACTTTAGTTGATGTGTAAAGGATAGTTCAGAAGTCCAAAGTCAATCCTATTTAAACACGACTTGAGATCTTCTCGGAGTCCTATTAATAGTCAGCTTCCTCTTTGATAGGACTCCTACTGTTCCAAGGATTCCACAAGCTTTGGGACTTTTGTCTCTGATTGAATTATCTGTATATTCTTGAGCAACAACCCTTATCACTTATAGCAGCAATCTTCCACCAAACTCACATCTGGGTAACTTTGAGATAAAGTTACCGTCTTGTACATACATATAAGTATCAATCACGAGGAGTTGGTTCTTCACAAAAGTTAAGCAGCTACATTGAGGACATGGTTCTTTGAGTAGTTAGTCACACTTTGTTAATCATCAAAATTTCAATACTCAACAAATTTTCCATTTTTGATGATGGCAAACTTTGTACACAGAACCAGGCAATCACATCAAAGAACCAGATGATCACAACAAGTACTTTTGACAAATATGTATGTTCACAACCCACCAACCTTCCAACCTTAACTTCCCCCTTTTGGCATCATCGAAAAAACACAAACGCATGTTAGACATTAAGCACAGATAATGTAAGATCAAACATGCGACAACATAAGCATAAGAAAAGACAAATAAACTAGGTTGATGATCCAATAGAATACAAAGCAGTAAAGCAGAGCAATAGGAGATATTAAGTAGTGCTAAAAGAAGCCCAGGGCCTTGTCTTCATCAGTAGAACAAAATAAACTAAGCATACTGCCAATTACTCAGACTAAGATAAAAGTAACAAAAGATAAGGTATCATTAGAATAGCAAAAGAACTAAGGGCATTGGGAAGGAACAAGTTCAAGGGTGAGAAACGGAGGGGGTCAAAGCTTTAAAGGGTAGAAATATGTTGAGCATGTGCCTTCCTGTCTCCTCTGAGCTCTTCCCTGAGTTGTTTTGTTTCCTTTCTCAGCTCATTATTGTCTTCACGAAGCTTGACATTCTCTTCAACAGCCAACTCCAACCTCTTGCTGAGTTCTGCAACACTACTGCTCCCAGGAAGAATGGCCGATCATGTGGTCCTCTAGCCTTAATCTCCTCATAGTCACACTGCTTGAGGGTAACAACATCCAAAACATCATTGTGGTTTCCAAACTTAAGCACAGGCAAGGCAATGTTGAGCTTTTCAAATAACTAAGTCAACATGAAACCATATGGCATAGCATGTTTAGTTTGGAAGTATCTGCATCTCTTGTCATGTGCTGAATCATCATGCTAGGAAGATTGATAGGTCGACTAGTGTCAAGCAGTTCCATCATAGCCATGTCTAGCAGAGTAGCTTCATGCCTTCTCTCAGACCTCTGAAGAATGCAAGAGTTGACAAACTGAAATAGTAGCTTGTGAAAGGGAGTCATATCAGTCTTGTACACTTTCTGGGGAGCATCTAGTTTAAACTTTTGGGAGAACTTCCTGGTGTCCACAATGACAGTGTCAACATCATTGTCTATGGATGGCTACTTCTTCTTCAAATAATTGTCAAATCCAAAAGAAGGGATATTCAGAAGCAGCCCAGTTCCTCAACTTCAAACTCCATATCGAAGCCCCTTACTTTACTCTTGACTACCTTCCCATCAAAAGTGAAATTTGTGTAGAACTCCACCATGGCAGGAACACATACTGGGGGGAAAGCTTTGACAAACATGTGCTTCCACCCATGTAGCTCAAGTTTCTCAACCAGTTGAGCCATTCTCTTCTCATCAGTGTTCGCAAGAATCTTCCCATTTAGCATTTTTCTATTCCTGAACTCTGTGAGTCGATCAACTGCAAGTGGCACATTCTTTCTTGTCTTACCCCTATTATCCCTTGCAGAAGAGGTAGCAAGTTTGGTGTCTTTGGCTCATTTTTTCTTTGGTGTGACAGACTTTGTTAGCAAGGTTGAGTCAGATTCATCTTCTCCATCCACCTCAACAACAGGTTCCATATAATTGAAACCTTTTTCTTTGGCTTCTTTTCACTTCTGGACTCCTTCATAATTTGCGCATCAACAACCTTTCTTTTACTCCTTGTGAGGGGAGTTCTAGCAGGAGGAACCACTCATTTCCTTGTTGAGACTATTGTCTTTGTAGCTATCACAGTGGTCTTTCTGGACTTCTTCCCTACCTCAGATAGTGGCATATCATATTCATCATTGCTAACTTCTTTATCTCTAGTGAAAGGAGTTAACAAAGACCCAGGTTCTTGAGCCCTTGTCTATTCACCAATTTCTTTTGAAGGGGCTATGATAGTATTTTCAAATGTCCTGGAACCTTCAGATTCCTCACTCACATTCCTCTTTTCTTTCTCACTCTCGTCGTCACCTTCTTCACTCTCACTTACCTTTTCTTGATCATCACCCTCACTTTTAGAAACTTCTTCTTCTTCACTCTGATCTTCTTCTTCTGTAGAATTATTAGCATGTTCACCTGTCTTATCCTTTGTATCACTCTCTTTCTTATCTCCAGATACTCCCTCATTCTTACTCTTTTCTTCTTCATTGTCTATGTTTTAAGCATCGTGTTCCTCTTGACCGTTCACAGCTTCTTCTTCTTCTTTTTCACCTTCATTATCTTCCTCATCCTCAATCCAACTAAAATCAAGTCCATCAGAAGCCTCATTTTGCACTGGTTTTTTTACGTTATTCCCCCTCAACCACAGGCTCCACAGTCGTTGTATCTACCTCCTTACCCGGATCCATGTATGCTCTTCTACCGTGAATTTCTCCACTGGTGACTTCTCACTCATATATGGAAGAGTATCTAGGGGTGCAACATCTATAGCAGAAACCAAAATATCTAATTTGGAAGTAGGATATGGTACCTAATCAGTAGTGCCTATACTTGATTTCCCCTAAATCACAGATTTCTTGACTCCAGTGTCACCCTGTGTAGCAGCCTCAGGCACTTTCTTGACAAATTTTCTTGAAGTTGCTTTGATCTTTGCTGACTTAGAGGTATTTTTTGTAGGAAGCTCGGGTGCATGGGTAGTTTTTTTTGAATGAGGGGATACAGTGGAGATGGGAATAATAGGAACATGAGCAGTTGGAACAATGGAGGATGAGGTAGGTATGGTAGAGGATATCGAAGGAGAAAGAATAGGTATGGGTGTGGGTGTGGGTTCTCTTGAACGCTTGTCATTTTTCTTCAATTTGGGCTTCAAGATTTTGGGTTTTGCTTCAGCCTTGGTTGATGATTTAGCTTTAGAGGGTGTTTGACTGGCTTTAGTCATGGTGATCAGATGGGAGACTCGAAGAAGAGAAAAAAAAGGTTAGTTCTTAATAATTGCTTTCGATTCTTGCTTAGGGGTTGAGAGAAATAGTAAGGTTAGAGAAGCTGATCATAAGAGCCTTTTAAAGGTGTTACTCCTTATTTGACTGGAAGAGAGAAAGTGACTGAATTTGAGTTCTAACAGGACTCTTATAACGGTTACTTTGACTGTAGGATTTTCAGGAGTAATTGATCTCTAATTGCACAAGGATTCCCCCTTACTCTTTGACTAGAAAACGATTAGAAGTGATGCCAACGAAATTAAAATTCTGAGTATAGCAGTAATTTTAGAATATAAAGTCCTAGTGACTTAAGACAATATGGCACATACCTGAGTCAAAGAACCAACTCCTTAGCAAATCCTTATTCATTTTTGCAATAAAATTTCAACACTTCATATTAGTATCATGCAACATATTTATCATCCATATTTTATAAGCAAGTGTGTGAGCTTAATACAAGCACAAAGCTGAATCAAAACATTGTACTTAATTATCTACGTCTTATTATGATTTTTCTAACCAATCACTGGGAGTCAACTTAGTGGAAGGAGTTGATTAGACCTAGTTCTAGTCTATTCCTTTCAAAGCGATCCCTACTTAGAGCTTTAGTAAAAATATCAGCAATTTGATCTTCAGTTTTATAGAAGTTAATTGAGATATTCCCATTTTCAACATTGTCTATGAGAAAGTGATGTCTAATGTCAATGTGCTTGGTTCTCTTATTTTGGCATGGATTTTTAGCAATGTTTATGGCATTGGTGTTATCATAGAAAATGGGAACACAATCAACAAATATACCATAGTCCCTTAGTTGTTGTCTTATCCATAGTAACTGAGCACAGCAGGATATTGCCGCCACATATTCAGCCTCAACTGTAGATAAGGCCACTGAGTTTTGCTTCTTGGTTCCCCAAGACACTAAACAAGAACCTAGAAAATGAGTTGTTCCTGAAGTGCTTTTCCTGTCAACATGAAAACCTGCATAGTCAGCATCAGCATAACCAACTATATCAAAGATGTACCCTCTGAGATACCATAGACAGAGGTCAGGGGTCCCCTTGAGATATCTTAGTATTCTTTTGACATCCTTCAGGTGAGATTCCATGGGATTTGCCTGAAATCTTGCACATAATCCCACACTAAACACTATATTAGGCATGCTTGCTATGAGGTACAATAGTGACCAATCATTCCTATATATAGCTTTTGTTCCACACTTTTCCTTTCTTCATCAAGGTCCAGCTTTGTTGCAATGGCAATGGGGGTATCAATAGACTTAGAGGAGTCCATGTTGAATTTCCTCAGTAACACTTTGATGTATTTCTGCTAATATATAATGGTTCCAGTATGTGTTTGCTTGATTTGCAGCCCTAGAAAGAAGTTCAATTCACCCATCATGCTCATTTCGAACTCCGTTCCCATCTCTCAGAAAATTCCTTGCACATTACTTCATTAGTGGCCTCGAAGATAATATCATCCACATACACTTGCACAATCAGAATATTCTTCCATTTGCTTCTCATAAATAGAGTGTTGTCCACATTTCCTCTTAAAAGGTTGTTGGTTAAGAGGAATTTTGAGAGCCTTTCATACTAAGTTCTAGGAGCCTGTTTCAGGACATAAAGAGTTTTATCCAGTTTGAACACATAGTCAGGAAATTCTTCACTTTCAAATCCAGGAGTTTGTTTGGCAAACACTTCCACTTTCAGGTACCCATTCAAAAAGACACTTTTTATATCCATCTAGTATAAAGTGAATTCCATGTGGGCAACAAAGGCTATCAACATTCTTATAGCCTTCATTCTAACTATAAGTGCAAATGTCTTATCATAGTCAATGTCCTCCTCTTAATTGTATCCCTGAACCACTAGTCTGGCCTTGTTCCTTGTGATATTTCCTTGTTCATCCAACTTGTTTCTGAACACCCATCTGGTACTTATGACAGTTCTGTTATTGGGTTTCTGTACCAGGTGCCAGACCTTGCTTCTCTCAAACTGATTTAGCTTCTCTTGCATGGATATGAACCAGTCTGGATCCTTTAGAGCTTCTTTAATGGTCTTAGGTTCAACCTGTGAGAGGAATGTTGTAAGTGCACATAGATTTCTTAGAGAAGACCTGGTTTGCACCCCTGAATTTGGATCAGAGGTGATATTCTCAAGAGGGTAAGAGATTTGATGCTTCATGGTCTGATATGTATACCTAGAGAAGATTCACTTGAGGAGTGACCCAAAGGAGAATGTTCAGTAGGTGTGGCTTCATTTTTCTGGTCAGCAGTTAGAGTAGTTCTTTCTTCTTCTTGTTCCTCATAATCACTGTCAATTTCCTTGTGGTTTTCAGATCCATCTTCATCAGATTCCTTTGTATCTCAATTATCTTCATCCTGCAGATCTTTCTCAGCTAAATTGTTAGATTCATCGAAAATAACATGAATATTTTCTTCCACACACATAGTTCTTTTATTAAAAACCTTATAGGCATTACTATGTGGAGAGTAACCCAAGAAAATTCCCTCATCACTTCTATCATCAAACTTACCTAGAGCTTCTTTCCCATTATTATGCATAAAATATTTGCACCCAAAGGCTCTCAGGTGAGTGATGTTGAGTTTTCTTCCTCGAAGTAACTCGTAGGGAGTTTTCTCAAGAATGAGTCTGACCACGTATCTATTTAACAAATAACAAGCAGTATTGATTGCCTCAGCCCAGAAATTCTTAGGCAGTCTATTGGCAATCAACATGGTCCTCTCCATGTCTTCTAAGGATCTATTCTTTCTTTATACAACCCTATTTTGTTGTGGAGTTCTAGGTGCAGAGAAAATATGGTCAATGCCATGTGAGCCACAGAACTCAAGGAATTTTGAATTTTCAAATTATGTTCCATAGTCAGTTCTTATACTTAAAACATTACATCCTAGCTTTTATTGAATCATTCTGACAAATACACAGAAAACATCAAAGATTTCATCTTTGGATCCCAAAAACAAAGTCCATGTATACCTAGAGAAGTCTTCAACAATCACAAACACATACCTCTTACCTCCTTTGTTCCTTATTCTCATTAGTCCACATAGATCCATGTGAAGGAGTTCCAGAGGTTTAGAAGTACTTACAAACTTCTTAGATTTAAAGGATGACCTAACATTTTTCCCTCTAACACAAGCATCACATACCTTGTCAGAGGTGAACTCGACTTTAGGTAGCCCAAAGACCAAGTTCTTCGCTGCCAACTTATTGAGTTGAGAGAGACTAGCATGTCCCAGTCTTCTATGCCACAATAGTGGATCATCTTCCACTACACTCAAACATGTGTGCTCACTTTGGGGAAGTGACATACTCGATATCTTGTAAGCATTGTTATGTCTCTTATCCTTTAGCACAATTTCATCAGTATCAAGCTTAGTGACAATGCAGATTTTGGAATTGAATTTTACCTCATTTCCTTTGTCGCACATTTGAGAGATGCTAAGAAGATTGCGTTTAAGACCTACCATATAATACACATCTTCTATAACATGAGAGAGTGACTTGCCAACCTTGCTAATACCTGTTATCTGCCCCTTTTCCTATTTCCAGATGACACACTCCCTCATTGGAAGGTTGTTAGTGAGAGAAAGTTGTTCTTTTCTCCAGTCATATGTCTTGAGCATCCACTATCTAGATACCAATCCTGATTGTTTTCTCTCACCTTAGCCTGCACCAAAATTCACAAGTTAGTTTTGGGAACTTAGACTAGCTTGGGTCTCTTTTTTGTTGGAAAAAAAAGGAATCAGATCCCTTCTTGCCCATAAAGGGGGAGGATTAGAAGTTATTTTCTTATTAACCTTAATCCACTTAGTATGGACATGAGGATTAACCTTTGGCTCCTCTTCCTTCTTAACATTTTTAGCAATACCAAAGGTGTTTCTAAGTTGAGCATGAATTAAGGCAGGACAAGTGTCTCTAAACCGTCCTACTCTTCTACAATGAGTGCACATGTTATTATCAGAAATTCCTACATACTTTGGGTCAAACTTAGGGACATATTTTCTGTAGCCAATTCCAGATTTGTTAGAGCTACAATTTTTATTCAGCCAATTCAAGGCATAAGAAGATCTATGCCATTTGCTTAGTCTAGAGAGTTCATAATTAGCCTTTTTTAGGTTTTCATGTAGGACTTTATTTCTACATTCAGCATCACAAAGATTATCATGAGTAATTTTTAATTTCTTTTAAAGTTTATCCCGCAGATCACTCATTTTTCCTTTTCCATGTGTATCAAGAGACTTTTCATTCTCAAAAGTAAGTTCAAGAACCTAGTTCTTAAGGTCTATGACCTGTTTCTCTAAACTAGCTTTGTCAGATTCAAGCTCTTTAATATCAAGTTTGACACAAGAAACGTTGTTAATTAGTTGATCATTTCCATTACTTATTTTATCCATTTTATTCATTAAGGTCACAATTATGGCCATCAGTTGCTTTTTGGATATATCATGAATATTTTCTTTCAAGTCAGTTATACTTACCTGATTTGCCTTATCTTCAGTTTTTGAATTACTCATGGCCATCATTCCGATCATTTATTCCTCTGTTTTTGATTCTTCAGTCACCATCAGAGCCACTTTGATGTTTTCATTTCCAAAGTCAGTTTCCAAGGTCCTCCATATATCATGAGTAGAGATGCAATAGGACATTGTAAGGAGGGTGTTTCTAGACAGACTTCTGTAGAGCAAGTCATTTGCTTTAGCATTTTTCTGAACTAGCTGACGATATTCCTCACCGTATTCCTTTTCTTTTTTGTAGCACTTGTTACCTTCACCATCCAATTTGGTTGGGAAAATTGGTCCATAACTGGCAATTACCATAGGTCAAGGTCAGTAGTCTGAAGAAATATTTTCATACGCAGCTTCCATTCATCATAGTGGTGTTCATCAAACAAAATGAGGTCTTCCAATGTGCATTACAAGTTGTACTGGGGGTTCTGTCTTCACAACTTGGTGTTTATCAATCACAACATAGAGACTTATAGCCTCATCCTCCTTTTCTTCCTCTTGATCACTCCCACTATCCTCATATGCTGCCAAGAATGCATGCTTCATTGTTTCAGTAAATCTCTTGCCTAGGATTTTTCCTTTGTTGGAACCTTTTTCTCTCATCTTCTCTCGTTTCTCCTTTTCAGCTCGTTCTTTCGTCCGCTCGATTTCCCACATTGGGCAGTCCTTTACTATGTGATCTAGCTTGCCACACTTGTAGCACCCATCATAGTTAGCTTTGTTGATCTAGTTGTGCTTACTACTGGTCTCTCTCTTGGATGCACTTTTGGAATTCTTTATGAACCTCTTGAACTTGGAAGACATTGCTAGATCAGGATCATCATAGTCAGATTCATCATCCTTAGATGCTTTAAGAACCAAGGCCTTATCCTTCTTTGGTTCTTCTTTGCGCAGTTCTATCTTTCTCATTTTATGAGTTTTTAAGTTTCCAACCAACTCATCAAGTGAGATTTTATCCAATTCATTGGCTTCCTGGAATGCAGTGACTTTTGATTCCCATGAAGCTGGAAGGATTCTTAGAACTTTCCTAACCAACTCTTCTGAGGTAAACACCTTTTTGATTTCAGTTCATTGGTTATTATAGTGGACCTAGTCATCATATCCTAGATGGGCTCAGACTCCTTTATGAAGAAAAGCTCATAGTTTCTCATGAGTAGTTCAATCCTTGATCTATTTACTTGATTTGTTCCTTCATGAGCAATTTGGAGTGCATCCCATATCTGATTTGCATTAGAGCACATAGAAATTCTATTGTACTCATCAGGACCAAGTCCACAGATAAGGATTTTCTTAGCCTTCGCATTCTTCTCCGTCATTTTGAAATCCGCTGCCACAAATTCGGAGGGGTCCTTAGGAACTGTTTCACTTTGTGCATTTTGTGTAGTAGGAATAAAAGGACCTTGGCTTACTATGGTCCATAGTTCAAGGTCTTCAGCTGTCAAGAAATCTTCCATTATTACTTTTCACCAACTGTAGTATTTTTCATTGAATAGGGGTGGTCTGGTAGTTGTTTGTCCTTCATTAATTCCAGGTGGAGCACTCATCTTTCTTCAAGATCTCTCTAGGTGTTAGCAGTGTAAATGAGAGAACTTGCTCTGATACCAATTGTTAATTTGAGTGCCCGTATGGATTACTGAAGAACTTGTTTCTTTACCATGTTACATAAGCGTAAAGTAAATAAGTAATACAATGAACATATTGATTTTTACATGAAAAATCACCCGACTCAAAATGTGCAAAAACCATGGCCTACCACATAGGATTTTCAACTCCAACTTCACTAGAACAATGGGCCAAAATGTATCAATTACAAGACTATAATTCAATACTCTCCAGTACTCCTACTACTCCTATTTGATTCACAAGTTACTCTAACTTGTAAAGCAAAATATTCACTCCAACTCACTAACTGTTTATGACGTTTGATTACAACCCAATTTTCTAAAACACATTCACTAGACTGACTCAGAAGAATACAAAGCAAGTACTCAACACAAGTAAAAACAACTTATGACACTTTAGTTGATGTGTAAAAGGATAGTTCTAAAGTCCAAAGCCAATCCTATTTAAACACGACTTGCGATCTTCTACGAGTCTTATTCATAGTGAGATTCCTCTTTGATAGGACTCCTACTGTTCCAAGGATTTCACATGTTTGAGACTTTTGTCTATGACTGAATTATCCGTATCTTCTTGAGTAACGACTCTTATCACTTATAGCAGTCATCTTCCACCAAATTCGGACTTGAATAACTTTGAAATAGAGTTACTGTCTTGTACATACGTACAAGTATCAATCATGAAGAGCTGAGCTGATCCTTTAACCTGAGGAGCTGATTTTTCACAACAGTTAAACAACTACATTGAATACATGGTTCTTTGAGCAATTAGTTACACTTTGTTAATCATCAAAACTACAATACGATAGACTTAAAAGCAAAAATTACTGCTTCGCGGAGGCCACGGACGAGAACCTACCGGGACAATAGGTTTGATGTACCCAATGAGAGAGTTGGCGTAGCCTATAGATTTCTGTTATACTCCCTTGGTAAAAAAAAAACGGATAATATATAGATTTCATATTAGAGATAAAGCAATAATCCACTATCACATTTCTTATAAGATTAAAATGGTATTTTGAAATTGCATTTGTGCTTATATACAATATAATGCTACATTGAATATGTTTAAATTTTCAGATTTCAAAATGCATGATTTTGTGAACCTTAAATTGTCACATAATCTGAATTTGTTTCTATACTTTTTAGAAATTGTTAATAAATTATGGCCGATTGAAGGATTCAAGTCTCAACTTTTATTATGACAAGGACAATTACCACACACACAAAAAAAAATGATATTGCAAAAAACGGGACCATTGCCTTTTGGTCATTGACCTTAACAAACTTCATTTTCAAAAGAGGAACTTCAAAAGCCATGATGTGATTTTAGTTCACTAGTCATAAATCACGAAATTCATCCAAACGACAAAAGACAAATCAAAATGCCAAAACCAAGGGAAAGAAAAAAGAAAAAGGAAAAAAAATAATCAAAAAGCACAAATACAATAATGTCCACAAATTAAAACACATAAAAGAATTTGGGACTATACAAAATATGTCACTTTTATTTGGGTTTCTAGTACCCTTTTGTTTTGAGCAATGGAAGTGTCCCGTTCCGTAATTGTCCTAGCTCAAAACGGGATGTTGACTAGATTTCGACTAGCAATTTTTGAAAGAAGATATCGCAGTGGAATGATAAATATTTTTTAATTTTTAATTTGAGCCTTGAATATAAAATCTCTTTTGTTCGAGAGTACTTTATCTATTATGTGCGATTTTTTAATTAAAATTTGAATTTAATCTGACCATAATAAAAATATAGAGCACACAAAAAATAATTGTAGACCTCACAAATGTTTTGGTCCTTTTTCAGCTCACACAGTCCTGTCACTGTCCCATGATTTCATTTTTGGATATTTGATGTAATTCCCCCCACCTCAAATATCTTTCTTTTTCTCAACAAAAAAGTCACTTTCCAACTAAGTGGTAGCACATTTTATATTTGGGAAAATTCTTTATCGTTTTCTTTCTTTTGGGGGCTAAAGTACAAAAGAAAATTTAATTGCTAAAGACGTCTTTGTATTTGAAAAATGCAATTAGCCCACTTAAACTATTTAATCCTTATTCTTCAACTAGAATTGACTATTAGTACCCACACGTGCAACCTTATTTTATTTATTTATTTTTGTCAAAACTAGTCATACTTTGGTGTCTAAAAAATTTCAGAGTTTACACTTTTTCAGCAAACCCCTTTTAAAATGCAAACAAAAGAGGGAAATAAGTGAATTTAAGAGAAAAAAACTATAAAGCTTATGAATTAAGGATATAACATGCTTTAAAAAAGAGAGTGTGTTCAAGGTCCGAATAAAGGTGACAAAGTTAGTAGTATGGTCCGTAAAATCCGTAATATTCATTTAATGACTCTTACTTAAATAAAAAATATTCTAAATTAATGGTTTCTGAACAATATATATCCATAATATTTTATTATTATGGATATATATTATGGTTTCTCAATAATATTCTAATTTCTTTTTCATCTCAAAAAATAATATTTTATTTAATGAAAAAACAAATGTATTTGTCTCATAAAATGATTGTCAGTGGATAATCCTTTAGTTCAGCCATGATGAGGATTTCTAATTTCTTAATCATGACATATTTATATGAGATGTAATAATATAAATACAAAAAATAAATGAATAATTTTGTGATTATAAAAAAAACGTCACAAAAAAAATACGCTATCCAACTATTTTGTCAAAACTTCATTAATTCTTGCTGCTTTACTGAAATAAAATTAAAACTATACAACATCAATTTAAGCGAAATATTAAGTTAGAAAACTACTTATTTCACATGATGGTAAAAGTCAGAAGACCCTACCTTTTGTTTTAGCAAAAGAATAATTTAATAACACATTTTTTCTTTTAATTAGGAAAAAATGATTTAGGCTAATCTGTGATAAGTCATGTTAAAAAATAAAAGAAATTGTTACAAAATCATGAGTTCATGACGAAGATATCGAGACTAAAAAAATTTCTAAGTTAAATTTAATTGAGTTAATATCTAATATCTATTTTAGTATTTCTCGTTTTAACATATTTTAAAGGTTTTTAATAATTATTTAGTATTTAAAATTTTCTATATCGATTAATTTAAATTTGGGTCGCATAAAAATAATTAAAAGATGAAGCTTTCTATAATAGGATGCTCTTAAATCCCAAAGTCAAACTCAAACACTTCGACCAAGGGTGAATGATTTCTATCAATCCCACAATATGTTAGATTGTGATAGTAAAAATTAAGAATCAATGATCTAGGCTCACAGATATATTAATTTTATTTGTGATTTTGTATTTTTTTTAATTTCATAGAGCCCTATACGATGTGATACAATTTGATTAGATATGAATTTTATAAAAGATAAAAGTGCATTTAAAACATGTCTTCAAAACAAGTTATATAGAGTTATATAAACATAAATTATTTAATTAAAATAAACAAAAAGTTAGAATTAAATTAATTTTAATTATAAAATATACGTACTTATTTTGTTAAAAACCGGATTAAAAAGAAAAATAACTCACTAAATTAAAGTTAACAATTTAAATTTGTCAAAAGTTGACAGGAGTCAAAGATAGCGCGAAGCCGTTTTGGAGTTAAGGTTTCGGGCAGATGGGGCAAAGCACCGTTCGGGCAGCTTAACACGCCCAAAAAGAGACGATAATAATCTCTCTCTCTCTCTCTGACCTTTTTCTCTCTCTCGGGCACACAACACACACTACTCAGTAGAGAGAGAAACAAAAAGAAATAAAAAAACAAAACAAAAGCAGTACAAAATGTGAAAGTTGCAGCAGATTAAAAAAAAAGGGGTTCATCAGAAGTAGAAGAACTCAAACTGAACTGAGAAACACAAAAAGGGTCACATGTACAGAGTAAAGGGGTTACAAAATCCTAAAAAAAGTGAAAAAATTTGGTCTTTTTTTTGTGGGTTATTTCAAAAGATCGGTTCTTGGATTTTGAGCTTTGTGGGTCATTTTCTTGGTTGTGTTATGAAGCTATTTTGGTATGGTAATGAGGGCTAGGGTTTTCTTGGATTTTTGGGTAAATGCTGGCTTCTTTGAGTTTGCTTTACTTGGATCTACGAGATTGTTTAATGAGCTGGCTGTTTGATTTGTAAAAGAACATTTATATATACAGATAAATCTGTATGTGTATTATTTGATGATGAAGGTGATGAAGAAAGATGCTTTGGTGTCAATGGTGGTGTGGCTAATCTTGGTTGTACATCCTCTTAAGCTCATTTTTGCTAACATGGAAGGTTTGTGGGGCCCATCCTCTTTTTTAGTTATTTTTGAGGTTTATCTTTGTTGTTCTATTTTGTGAGATGAGTTCCAAAAAAAGTTGAAGTTTTTGGTGCTAGAAAGTCAATATTTGTTTGAAAATGAAATGAAGATGTGCAAAATTGGACTTTGAATTTGACTTAATGTGTTAGTTGTTGAATTTTCCCAAAATGGTAAGCAAGATAAGCAATGAGCTCCCTACCTTGTTATAGTAGCAAGCAGTTCAGTTCTTTTATATGTGATTATTGCTATTCAATCTTGGTGCATTTATCATTTCTTGTACATGCTTGAATAATTTCTAGTGATTCAATTTGCTTTTTTTTTTGGGTGGCCAAAATCTTGATAAATTGCTTTGTTCGGTCAGTAAATTAAATATTTGTTGTGCGCTTAGATGGATTAAATATTGTCTATTTTTTCCTAAATGCATGCACGAACAGGTGATGCATTGCACAGTCTACGGACCAACTTACAAGATCCTAACAATGTGTTACAGAGCTGGGATCCTACCCTTGTTAATCCTTGCACATGGTTTCATGTTACTTGCAACAATGATAACAGTGTTATAAGAGTGTAAGAATCTGTTGTTCGCTTTACCTCCGCTTTCATGGATTTTGCAATTCCACTTTCCTGTGGTGGTGAGCAGATCACATTTCAGTTTGTGGTTCCATAACACTTGTTATATATTCAACTTTTCCAGTGATTTAGGAAATGCTGCTTTATCTGGTCAATTAGTTCCACAGCTTGGCCTTTTGAAGAATTTGCAATACTTGTAAGTCTCACTTTTGTGAATTATGTTTGCTACTTTCGTGTTGCTTTACAAATTTAGACTTGGCAAATGGGCATTAGGTGTATTGGTTTCTCCAAATGTTGAAGATTTTGCATTTTATCTGTTGAATTTGTTGCATGGAAATGCCATGGATGGCTGGCATTAATACTTTTGTATGTAAAAAAAAGCTGCTGGAAGTGGCAAAGCAAGCAGAGAACAACAAATATCTCCTCTCCATCTCTCGTTTCACTTGGAGAGTGTTGTTGTCGATGCCATATTTGTTGATGTATTCCATGAACAACAAATATTTTAATTTGTTTGTGTCACAATTACGTACTAATGAATTTGGAAAGTTGGATACTTGGTTGAGACTAGCAATGGATTAATTTAAGTGGCAAAGTAAGTGGCTTTAAGCACTTGGATAAATATTACAGTTGAACTTAAATTTATGTCGCACATTTACCTATCAAAAGATAAGAAGTCATTGACTTTTTGACCAACTCTTAATTAGCATTGCAATCCTAATCTATGTGTGCCGGATCCTCCAAAAGTTATGCAGTTTAAGACATATCATTATATATCCCAGCACCCTAAGCACTCTTAATTTGGACTAGCAAACTTCCGCTCAGATAGTTCTTTATTCGCCCTTTCCTTTTCCCAGGTAACTGCTATTAACAGAAATCCTGATTTAGGTTTATGGGATAGGAAACAGCAAACAAGAGAAAACAAGCCCGTTAAAAATATAAAGTAAAACCCTGACCTATAAAGAGGAAAAGTGGCTAGATGATTGATGATGTCTTGGAGGAAAAAATCTGAAGTTTTCTGGTCATACATTCGATGCTAATGCAGTTAGTCACCAAGAAAATGTAACTTAATAATCTTAGCCTTGTGTTTGAATCAACAACTTAATTAAGCATAGTTTTCTATACAAGTAAATAAGCTTATTTTGAAATTTTGAAGTTTGACAATATGGATGTTCGTTTGAGCTCAAGGTATATTAGTTTCTGCACTCTTAAATTGTGAACGTATAGTCATATTCTGTCCCAAACTGCTTGTTTGGAGCTCTTATTGATTGTAACCCGTGATCTTTTGAAATTGCAACTATATGGAAGTTCATAGAGATAGTAAATGCATGTGCACCAGGTGAAGCTGGGCATTATGTGATTTTTAACTCATGCTTCAGGTAATGTGCTCTTTTGCTTGATGCTCATGCAGTACGTGTAACTAAGTATGTATTTCCCAAGTGTATGTAACTCACTGTTCAGATGAACTTTGAAGTTAATAGAAGTATAGACATTAACTGATTGATAAGTTACAAAGATTGTTTAAAATGTGACAGGGTAATCATTTGCTGCACATGGAAGTACAAAGGTTTATATCAAGCAAAATGCTTGTGATAGAAAATTCCCCCATGACAAAAACATTGCAAATAGTTATAAATGTTAACTTGAATCTCTTAGTACTTTCTCGTTTCTTGACTTTTAACTGTGGCATGCACCGAAAATCAGCTGTCGTGCCCTTTTTGATGAATGTGAGAATTCTGCATCATTATCTTGGTTGACCCATTAACCTAGGGGGATGTCATCAGTATGATATTGACTCATCTCTGGTTTGCTTCTCACAGGGAGCTTTACAGTAATAACATAAGTGGTTCAATACCGAGTGATCTTGGAAATTTGACTAATCTGGTCAGCTTGGATCTCTACTTGAACAGCTTCAGCGGCCCCATCCCAGATTCTTTGGGCAAGCTGACGAAATTGAGATTCCTGTATGTACTTTTATCCTACTTTTGATTTCTGTGGATATTGTGATGCCAAATTTCTATGTATTAAATCAACTATCCAGCCTCAAGACGGATGAAGGATGACCTACTCTTGCTGGCATGTCGAGAAATGAAAGAAAGTCTGATATTTTTTCTAGGTTTCACATAAGATGACCTCTATTAGTATTAGGTATCACGCGAAGTTTTGATGGTAGAAGGTAATTGAGGACTACATGGACCTGATATCATTCAAATTAAGCAGATGTTGTACATACAGTCGTCTTATTTTCTCCCTTTGTTGTAATCCTTATCTGAAGGAAAAGAAGTCTAGAGGCCTATGCTTCCGCTGATATTTGAGATCTATTTCCTGGTATTATTAAATTAAGCAGCTTTTAATCGTTGATGTTTATTTTCTCTGTTTATTGTAATCCTTTTCTAAAGGAGAATTTAAGTTTAGAAGCCTACGCCTCATACTGCATCTTTCACTGCTCAAGTTTCTCTTGCTTAATGCTCCACAAACTTTTTTTTCTTCTTTTGGCTGGACTGCCTAAGAAGTATTCCAAATTGGAGTTATTATGCAGACTCAGCTCGTAACCTCAATAAATGCATTTTGGCACTGGCTATAGAACTATTGCAGTATTGCCAATGATGGCTGATAGAATTTAGTCCAAATGGTGTTTGTTTGTCAGGGGGAAAATATTTGAGGTTTTTTGTTATGGTTCTGAACTGAGAACTTCATTTCCAGCTGAAGTACTGGTTTTGGTTTGAAGTTTCTTAATGTTTCATATCCACATTAAAATATCATATTAAGATGATTTTAGTGTCAGCCTTCACTTATGTTTTATTCTCCAATTATTTTACTATAGCAAAAATAAGCTCATTCCTGTATACCTTTGTATCTTTTGGCAAGGGTAGTCGGCTCAACAACAACAGTTTGACTGGTTCCATCCCGATGTCACTGACTAATATCTCATCACTTCAAGTGTTGTAAGTACACTAGCTCTTTTGTGGCTATTACTTGGAGTCATTCTCTCTGTTTTTTTTTCATTCATCGACCTTTCCTTCCACTGCATATACTCATGCTCTTTTCTTGTCTCATCTGTGTACAGGGACCTGTCAAACAATCGTCTTTCGGGTGCTGTTCCAGATAATGGTTCCTTCTCTCTATTCACGCCTATCAGGTATATTCCATAAAGGTGGTTCAGTATCCAATTGACTGGTGGTTTCAGAATTTTGCTATTTGCTAACATAGTTCACTTGAATTTACAGTTTTGCAAATAATTTAGATCTTTGTGGGCCTGTAACTGGACGCCCTTGCCCGGGATCTCCTCCATTCTCTCCTCCCCCTCCATTTGTTCCACCACCACCAATTTCTGCTCCAGGTAATTCTCTAAATGTGTCGGGATAAATGTTTTCATTTTTTAGCTTGCTCGAGTGTGGTGATTTCAGTTATAGTTTCTCCATCTTACCTCTCATAGTTTTCCCAATCCAAGTTAGAATTTGTGCTATAACAATACTGGCAGAAGAAGGGGAAAAAGGCCAAAAGTCATCTTTGCTAATCAGGCATTTTGGTTACTTGATTTTAATGAAAAACTGGATGTGCGAGGCTACATTTAAAGTTTCTAAGCAGTCTGGTGTCTTCATACATTTTTTCCCTTGGTCTATATGCATCGGTTGTATGTTGCTATCTGTGGTATTTGACATAGAATATATGAGGGTCTTACTGCTTAACATGCTCTATAGTAAAGTTTTGATCTGTGTGAGGGATGCAAATTTTGTGCGCTTCTGTTTTGAAAGCGATTCAAGATGATATAGGGCCAACACTTTTCCTTTGGCAAAATACATAAGCGGCCCATTTAAGTTGTCCTTAACGATCAGACAGACATACACCTCAACTCAACTGACCACTTTACCATTTAGGCACTTCAAGTGACTATTAAGTATATCAAGTAAACACATGTTGCTGATGCGGCATATGCGTGTTTGCTAACAATGTCTTGGGTGCGTGAAGTCATTTCTTCAGTAGTCAGAAAATTTAAATAATTAATTAATTACAGAAAAAATTAGAAAAATTTGCTCGAGTGCTTTGTTATGCATCTTTATTCTTCATTATCTGGTGCTAAAATTCTGAATTGATCTGAATTTAATCCTTGCCATTGCTCTAGACTTCAAATTTGGAACGAAGTCCTCGAAACCCAACACAACTCTTGAAATCCGAGTTTGTGTTCCATCGTTCTTCATTGTCCAATATTGTGGAAGAAGCTGGGTTGTTTCCATCTGAATATTGGAGGTCGAAATTGATTGGGTGTTTGAAACCTTTGTTGAAACTTTCTTTGTGAAACGGAATCTATGGATTTAGGTCGATTGGAGTTGATTCGTTTGGCTTTGGTTCGAAAATTTTGAAGTCTATTCGAAGAAGACTACGACGGGGTCTTTTGATTTTGTTGTTGCTTGTAAAAATTGGGTACTGGGGTTTGATATCGGTGTTGATTAGAGTTCTCATTTCAAGTTGGAACTCATTTGGTGAAGTAACGACTGAGATTGAATTTGAAAAATCTGAGCAAGTAAAGCTGCTATATTCTTCAACTCCTCCGTTCTTCAATTTTTGAAATTGGGCTTAAAGTAGCGTAGCTTACGCATCGCCCCTATTCCTAATGCGTAGCCAATTACAGTAGCTACGTTTAATTTGCTGGACTTGGGACGAGGGTGGATNCGCTGGTTTGGTTAAAAGTAAGGAAAAATAATTTTTGTTTTGTTTAAATGTATTTTTTTTTGTTAATTCAAATTACACGTGTCGTTCTTTAATTGGTTCATTTGACACGTCATTAGCAAGTGTAACTCACGCATATGGTCTGATGCAGTAACTCACGCATATGGTCTGATGCACTCGGGTTTTTACTTGATACACTTGATAGCCATTTGAAGTGTCTAAATAGTAAATGGGTCAAGTTGAAGTGTTTGTTTGATCGTTGAGGACAACTTAAAGGGGCCGTTTATGTATTTCGCCTTTTCCTTTTTGAAAATGGCACAGATAATGTTGAACTAAATTAATCAAATTTATGCTAGGTTCTGTGAAGATTTTAGGATCTTTGCTGTGTAAAATCTGTCCTGGAATTTAGATCTGAATGACATCCAATTTTTTGCCTTTTTTTGTGTGGAGTGATTTAGATGTTGAAGGGCCAAAGTTGTGTGTTAAGATAGTGTGGATAATATGAAGGAAATTAATCAAATTTATTCCAGTGGAGTAAGCAACAGTTCTTGAAACGAGAAATTGTCGAACTGATGTATAAATATTTTGAATGAAACATCAGGAGGAAATGGTGCAACTGGAGCAATTGCCGGAGGTGTAGCTGCTGGTGCTGCTCTACTATTTGCTGTTCCTGCCATTGCATTTGCCTGGTGGCGCCGTAGAAAACCACAAGAATATTTCTTTGATGTACCAGGTTAGCAGCTTACACACTGTCCCACCTCAAGTCCACAATTCCCTACCTACTTCTGCATGTGTGTCTGTTCTCTTGCATGTTACTATATTTTTTCAGCTCCATATTACTATGTTTGCTTAATTTTATTGCAGCTGAAGAGGATCCCGAAGTTCACTTAGGTCAACTGAAAAGGTTCTCCCTCCGAGAGCTACAAGTTGCAACTGATAGTTTTAGCAATAAAAATATTCTGGGTCGAGGTGGATTTGGTAAGGTATACAAAGGACGCTTGGCAGATGGAACATTGGTGGCTGTTAAACGGCTAAAGGAGGAGCGTACCCCTGGAGGGGAGTTGCAATTTCAAACAGAAGTTGAGATGATTAGTATGGCAGTGCACAGAAATCTTCTACGACTGCGTGGCTTCTGTATGACACCAACTGAAAGGCTGCTTGTCTACCCCTATATGGCCAATGGAAGTGTTGCATCATGCCTGAGAGGTGATGCCTACTGAAATCTATTATTCTTTCAATTTATGTGTCTTAGTTTGACTAGGATCGGATTTTAAGAGAAGTAAGGAAAACTTATAAATCTTGTGGTCTTAAACTAAAGATGTGTGTAATATACCAAAATGCCCTTGAATCTTATGGTGTTAATTATACCATGTGGAATGTTGTAGTTAAAGGGTTACTAAATATAGAAAGGCACAGACAAGAAAAGCAAAGGTAGACACATAAATTGAAACAGAGGGAGTAGTATCTGTGGATGTTTTCTTTTTTGGTTCTGAAAGGGTATGTTAAGTAATAGACCAAGAACATCTTTCGCAGGATCAACGTTTTATCTGCCGTAACTTCTTTTCTCTAACAAAATGTAAATCTTCTATGATCTATTCGTGTAACTTGGTAAAAGGCAGGAAATAGTAGTTATTATTCATCTTCTGAAAAAACTGTTTATTTTGTAGAACGGCCACCATCTGAACCACCACTTGATTGGCCAACACGAAAACGCATTGCTCTGGGATCTGCGAGGGGATTATCATATTTGCATGATCATTGTGACCCTAAGATTATCCATCGTGATGTGAAGGCTGCGAATATATTGCTAGATGAAGAATTTGAGGCTGTTGTTGGAGACTTTGGTTTGGCTAAACTTATGGATTACAAGGATACACACGTTACTACGGCTGTGCGCGGAACAATTGGGCATATAGCTCCAGAATACCTTTCCACTGGGAAGTCGTCCGAAAAGACTGATGTTTTTGGGTATGGGATCATGCTTCTGGAGCTAATCACTGGCCAGAGGGCTTTCGATCTTGCTCGGCTTGCGAATGATGATGATGTCATGTTGCTCGACTGGGTACGTAGTCATGTCTGCTTTAAGTGAACATGACACGAGTACAATAATGTGCTCTTTCTTTATCTTTCCAATAAACCTTTTCGCCTTTAGCTGGAATCTTTATGTCTATGATCTGGACTTCAAACTAATGTTGCTGAGGTCCTTGTTTTCAGGTCAAAGGACTCCTTAAAGAGAAGAAACTGGAAATGCTGGTTGACCCTGATCTTCAGAACAAATATGTGGAGGCTGAGGTGGAGCAGCTGATCCAGGTAGCATTGCTTTGTACGCAAAGCAGCCCAATGGATCGGCCCAAGATGTCGGAAGTGGTGAGAATGCTTGAAGGTGATGGCTTGGCTGAAAGATGGGATGAGTGGCAGAAGGTAGAAGTTCTCCGCCAGGAGGTGGAACTCGCACCACATCCTGGTTCCGATTGGATTGTTGACTCAACGGAGAATTTACACGCAGTTGAATTATCGGGTCCAAGTTGACCCTTGTACCCAAGTAAAAAGGCAAGCAAATTGTTAGGAACTCTAATTTTGTTGATCTTGAAAGTTTTTCTTGTGAAATTTAATCAAAATCTCCTGTTGTAAGCCGATGAATTGTATTTGTTACATTGTGCATACGAATTTGTACTGACAGGAATTCTAAATCTATGCCCTGACAAATTGAACATAGGCGTAGTGGCTATATGCGGTAAAATTGTCCTAAACAGTAAGCTGTTAAGCTGAGTCTTGTTTCCAGTGACATTGGTAATGCAATCAATTTGACAAAGTTATTTACAAGATTTTGGTATTTTACAATCAAAGTATAAAAGCTCTTCATGTTCTCTTATGGCATCAACAAATATATGGTTGAAGGGTATTATCTAAGCAATATATATAGGAGTAATTGAGTAGAATGGGCACCTAATAGTATTGCAAATGAAAGAATATATGTGATAGGCTAGTGGTGTACATATGTCGGGTTGGTTCGGATTTTTTAATTATCAAACCAAACCAATGGTGTCGGGTTTTTAAATTTATAAACCAAATCAACAAAGTCGGGTTTTTCAATTTCGTTTATTCTCGGATTTTTCGGGTTTCAGATTTTTTTCCGATAAAGTCTTCATAGCATAAAATATGTAACTTGTGCTCCAAATATTTCGTAAGTCCTAGTAAAATACAACCATATAATGTATTTTTCAAGAAACTAACACAATAATATGTGATAAGTCATAGCATTATACTAAAATATTCAATAACAAAGATAAAATAATAAAATTACATAAAACAAATATTGCTAATTAATAAGCCATAATGAAAATTAACATTATCTAAAAATACTATATAATGCTAAAATAAGTATAGCTAATAAGTACTAATATTAATAACATAATTAAGTACTAAAGAAAAAGATAAACTAATTATGCATTTTCATTATAAACCAATGTAAAATTATCCAACACTATCGTTATTCCTAGTATTGAATTGAATTTCTTTTGTTAGCATTAGTATTGATTTGAACTTTGTTTGAGTTACTACATTTATGGGCTATAAAATTTATTTACCATTCAAGAATGTTGAGTCTAAACTTGAAATAATACGTTAAAAGATAAAAATGTGAAAAGTTCAAGAAATATTTATAAATTACATTACAATAAATATTTATATGTATAAAATATTTTTAAAAATTATATAAATGTACTATCGGATTGGTTTGATTTTGGTTTGACTTTTTTTAGTTAAAACCAAACCAAATCAATTATGGTCGGATTTTATTTTCCAATATCAAACCAAATCAAACCAAACCACATCGGATTTTTTTTCCCGGTTTGACTCAAATTATCGGTTTGGTTTGGTACGATTTATCAGTTTTCTTTGTACACCCCTAGTGGCTACTTGCAAAGTTTGTCCTGCAACTCTTTACCTAAGTTTTGGGCTCTTTTTCGTTATCCTGATAATTTCATGCAACGCACCAAGGCTTTAATATCAGAGTACAAGAAGACTCAGTAATATATTGATCAAGTACCTCGTTATTTTTTACTCCAAAGTAAATTCTTACATGCAAATTCTTGAACTGCATACTCTTTAATATACAAGGATTGTTTGAATGTACTACATGCAAAAGGGGGTAAAGAATCTTCAAAACTCACAACCAGCAAACAAACCAGAGCCAGCAGAAGGGGTAAAGAAATCCACTTTACTTATCATGGCTGGACCTAATATTATCTTTGAATGACTGTGAACGAGAACTGGGATTAGAGCCATTTGCCGTAAACAAGTTAGGATATGAATAATATGTTTCATCGTCCAGGGACGGCAATCTCTGCGGTTGGTGAAGAGCAGTTCCCTGAGCAGGATGATGAATAGTCATGGAGGACTCAAAACCTACTGTTGCATTATATGAAGGAATATTTGACACCTGATGCTCCGATGGGCTGCCATGAAGTGGACTGGGGATACCATCAGAGTTTGACAATTGATGTTGGAGGTCAAAGGGAGCCTTTTCTAGGATGTGAGATTCCTGTTCCTGTTTCTCAGCATAAAAGGGGTTCTCGCTGGGGCTTCCAGGCACCTCTTCACTCCTTTTCCTGGTAAGCTCACTGATTCTAAACTGAGCAAGGCTAGCTGCTGAGCGAGCAGCAGCAGCTGCACGTTCAGCTGATTCAGCAGCTGCCTGGGCAGCAGCCAATACATCCTGCAAATCTATGTCTGTCTCAACTTTGGTCTTTGTAGTAGAGAGGGGTTGAGTACTTTTGGTTGTGGTACTTTGTGTTGATGAGAATGGAGATGATTTTGGCGGGGGAACCATGAATGGCAAAAACTGTTTCTCCTCTTCAGGTGCAGATAAAGTTTCAGGTGATCCTAAATCTTTTGAAACTACCTTCTCTTGCAAGACTTCATCTCGCTCCACATTTTGCTTGTGAGATTTGATCTCCGCGTCTTCAGAAGGCTTAGCTATCTCCTCATCGGAGTCAGATAGAGCGGAGGCCGGGAAAGGAAACATTTCGGGGACTGAAACTCCACCGGTGCTAGGTCGTAGTGGCTGCTTAGGAACTTCTGGAAAATCTAACGAGTCAAATTCGGACTCAGATTCTGTTTGTTTATCAGAGACTTGTTCTGAAGCAGGTTGCTGCAACTCATCAAACCTTTCCTTGGGAAGAGGGACCTTAGCCCCACTACCGAATTGTGTGGGGCCATTCTGCACAGCAGAGGGAAAAGATCATGAAGATTGAAGAGAACAAAATCAAGCCAGTAAAGACTAAACTATACCAGTAAGTCGTCATGTGACTTCAACAGGTCATTTTCAGAAGTACTTGGATCCCAATCTAGCTCATTCTCCTCTGCAATTTCCTTCAGCAGCTTCAATTTCGCATCAGGAGCAGGTGCTCGAATAGATAGCAACTCTATCAGCTGTCAGATCCCCAAAAAAAGAGAGAAAGAAGAAACTAAGTAATAAGAAACAGTTCTTCTTTATGGTTTAGCTATGTCATAAAGGACAACAAAGGTAACCTGGCGGTTGACACCACATTCTGGCATGAGCTCTGTAGCAGCAGCGACGAATTCTTTCCCATATTTACCGACGAACAGCATCTGAACCTGTAGCAGTTCGGGAAGATCTGCACATCTTGGTGCAGCAAAACATACACTTGAAATAGCTTCTTTCAGATCTAGAGGGCATTCCCTGGACATTGTAAAACCTTTCGGGCTTCAGCTCTTATCCAAATATTCAAGTTAAGAAATTCATTCAACAAAATCTAACTAGAGGTCTAGAACATTAAGAGTTGGAAAGAAACCCCACAATATTACACGAGAGCTCAGGTTCATAAGTCCCACTTATTAGTTTCATTCTAGCTAACAAGTGCTAGTTCTCCAAATATAGCATGAAAACAAGGATAAAATGTAGGAGCATCACCATTATACTTCATCATTCTGTTTTTTTTTTCTGGACAAAGGTATAAGTTATGTATTATAAAAAAGAAACCCAGCACATGATTCTGTTTCTTTTTAAAAGAAGAAAAATCAAAGATAAAACGCTTTAGCTCCATCTAGGAACTAGAGATCCAGGTTTATGGTCTTATCATAGATGACTGAACTTCTTTATGGTTTCACCTCCCATAACATAAGCAAGAAGAGCTGGTTAGCTGTATTCCCTACATACTTACTGGTCATATCAGCAGAAAGTTAACCCGTACTAGATCCTTCCTTCACTACAAATGTAGAAAGACCAAACATGGTGCTGCTCGGACACATTCACATAATTTCATTTAATCAACCTACAGCCTGGATAAGCGAATTTACATTACTTTTAAAACTAGATAACACTTTTTTTAATACATGTAAGTTGCAAATTAAAGGACTAGGATTCTAGGAATGGACCAAAGTTGCTCCATGTTTTCAATATAGTGAAGATTATTCTCGCAAAAGAAGTAAAGAATAGCTAGGGTGGACAACAATAGATCTGAGAGTTTGGTGCTGAAGGAGATATGGAACTAAATGTTGAAAACAGCAGCAGCAGTAGATGGAGAACGCGAGAGGCACGCAACGGAGATGGAGAGGAAGATTTGATCTCCTATACCATTACAATTATAATTAAACTTCAGTCAGCTAATTTTCTTCTAATCTTTATATCAGGTGTAACCCTATTTAATGACATATTTGCAGCTCGAGTAAAGTTAAAGGGCTCTTACCGCTGCAAAAATACACAAGACCAGCATAAGTTGACTAAAATGCAATACTACAGGTAGGTCAACCTCACAACTGGGATTTAACATCTGAAAATGTGTGAAACAAATTATATAACCAAGAAAAACAAATATTAACTGTTTTATATGCACTCTTTGACAAAGCACAACAGGTGATCATCTAATGCATCATATAGGAACCCTCTTATATTTTTTACCGTTCACCGGTATATTCTTAATCCTAAGATCTAATGTAAGCATATTCAGTTGCTCATCTATAAACTGAAGAAACAACTTAGGATACTGCAATTGTGTCCACAATATAGAATATCTCAAAAACATCAATATACACACAACATCGAATCTCAAAAACATCAATATACACACAACATCGAATCTCAAAAACATTAACACAAGGGAGTATCACGCTACCTTTGTGCTTCGATAATTGGAAGACGAACAGATATAAGCTCGCAGAATAGCTCGACTATCTCCTGTGCTGCCATCATTTTCTCTTCTCTTATTATATGCTCTACCTAAATAAGAAAACATCAGAATCAAGCTCAATATGCGACAAACCATCTACCAAAACAAATATGACCTTTCAGTATTTAAATGCAACAAACTCACACGTTTGCATAAATTACATCAGCACCAGAAAATAAGTTTCAGTATATACCCGAATCCGAGCAGTAGCTTCCTGACCAGTCTCTAGTAGCTTAGCAATTTCTTTTCTCATCTGCCTCAGCTGCATCTCCCTACGATTCCTTAGTAGTTTGATACGAGGAATCGTCAATTTCAATAGGGTTTTACTGCAAAATAATTAGTAAAATAAAATCAGCAAAATTATTGGTACAAGAATTGGAAAGACATCATTTTTCTCCCAAATTTTCTTAAAAAATGGAAATTTCAAAACCCCATTATTTCAAGTTTGTCAAATTTACATCATAAGTACCTTAACAAAAAAATTCATACAATTCCAAAACAAAAAACAGGAAAAAAATAGCAAAAAGAGGGGAAATTGAGGGGTTACCATTTAGCAGCTTTGAAACCTTTGCTGAAGAAAGAATCCATCAATAGACTAGATTCAGATCTTCAATATCTGTATGAATTATCCCTTACCTAAAACCACACACACAAAAAAAAACGAAGTTTATAATATGAGAATAATTAAACCAAACTTGGTAGTATTTTGGATTAAGCAAAAATATTTCTCTTTATTTTTTAAATATTAAAAAAAGGGAGATCAAAGACAAAGATGATGACGAAGTACCAAAGAAAAATAGGAAGATGTGTTAGATAGAAAAAGCACAAAAGTGAAACTGCTCCGCTATGTATATAAAGCCGAATGGGACGCGTACAAACTATCAATGTCGACGACTACCTTAGTGTTTCCTTAAGCTGTAAGCATTATTGGGTTTCAACTTAATTTTAATTTTACTCCAAATTTGGGATAAAAATTACGGATATTTTCTGAATTTTGGAACTGTGTAGACTTTTACCTTTCGATTACGATTATTTACTAAGCGAAGAAAGAAGATGAATTTTGGGTTGGATTTGGGCCAATTGCTGACGGTGAAAGAAGAAGATTTTTCTCAAAGGGATGGACCCCTACATGTTTATTATAGAGAATTTTACATTTTTCTTTTCGGCTAAAAAGATGATAAAATCGACAACACACGTTCAATTTTTAATGTTAGCTTTAATATTATTTTTTTAAATCGTTAAATATATATTTACATTAAGGATATACTATAAAAAGTATTAATTTTATATAGTTAAACATATTCAAATATTTGAAACACAGTAGTCAGTAACAAAAATAAATTATTTGCCTCCCCGAAGTAGCATCTAACAAATTTGGGATATACTAGTAAACATGTGCTCCTTAATTGCGTAAAGGCAAGAGAGGTCCGGAGAGTGTGGCAGTACGAGCTGGATGTGAAAAGGGTTAGTATGGCTAAGTTTCTTAGCTCTGGCTCGACGGACTTGTACAATCTGTTGGAAAATTTGGGACACGAGGATTCGGAGGCGGATTTATAATTTCGGGAGAATGGGTGCACCATTGATTTTAAGATAAATATTTAGTTTGATGATATAAAATTTAAAATTGTACTCGACGAGTTTCATACTTTGAAAACGATCTATAATGTAACATTATTTCTTACATTTGCAAATATCTTACACTCTATATTTCAAACTAAACAACCATTCAAAAATTCTTCACTAATGCCATTACGTAGATCGGTTTTTATGAGCTTCAATGCGACCCAGAGCATTGCAACTTCCTATTTTTTATTCAAAAAAAAGAGAAAAATATATCATGGTAAACTAAGCTAAATAACTAAAATTACAAGGCCAAGATCTGAAACCAAAAGAAAATCCCCTTTATTCAACATTTAAAGAGAAAAAAATCTCACAATTAGAATAGAGTAAAAAAAAAACCTATTGATTTGTTTAGAAAAAAATTGGACCTTACCCCGAAGGAAAATAGCTATTGCACAAGGCCACAAGCAATCAATGGATGTTGGGATTAAAAGATTGATGAATGAAAAATGAAAGGAAGAAAGTTGAGGGAAAGTGAGCTCTCTTTTGCTTTAAAAAGAGCAAGTGTCCCTCATTGGTGATGGAAAAAAAAGTGAATGTGCTTATATTGAGAAAACACTTCTCTTGGTGTTAAATGGGTTGGAAAGAAAGTAAGCCTCGCGCCATTGTTATCGTCGCTCGGCTCAGCTTCGGCTTCGGATCGAGATTGATCTTTTTGGATAAAATTTCTTTCAATTATTTAATTAACTAATTTAATTAATTAACTAAAATTCAACCCAGAATAATCCAGGACCCGATACGCGACCCGGTCCGTTTCTTTTCCGGATTATTTTAAATCTTTTTTCCCAGAATATTTCAAACGGGAAACGTTCCCACCTGTTCTAACAGCCATGGCTGTTTCTGAAACAGTCCGAGAATCTTTCCTTACGAAATTTTCTAAGCTTCTTCTCCTTCTCCTGCACAATTAAAATTTCAGTGTGGTGTAGCCTTCGAGTGGTTCGCTGTTTCACCGGCATTTTTGGTACCAACACTCTGGTGAGTTAAATCGTTCTATCATGTGAGGATAATATTCCAGCATCTCGGGTACTTGAGGGGAATAATTTTCTTAAGAACACACTGTGCATTCAGTGGGCTCGATTTTATTCCGAAACTATATTTCAGATTCAGCTTCATTGTTTCGATATTCTGTTGCTGCTAATTTTCTGTTTCAGAAAATTTACTATTTTGTTATTTATTATAGTAATACAGATTCACTAACAATCTTAAGAAAATTATTTTTATATTGTAATCTGTATTCTGTTTTTGGAGATTAAAACCTGTGTGGTTTTCTACTCCTTCTGAATTTTTCTATTTCTGATTTGAAGATATAAAAATTACATCGGAGTATTAAAATTCAGAAACGATTGGAAGAACATAAAAACTTCATCGTTTTCTGTGAAACAGTATATAAAAACTTCAGTTTTTATTTATTAAACGTACTATTTATCATTAATTACAGTACTGTTTACTGTTCTATTTTTTGCCATTAATTTAACTCTTCTGTTGTTGACAATGAGAAATGGCAATTGATAATGAAAATCCTTCTATGACTGTTGCGGCAACGACGATAGCCTCGTCAAGCCGAACTGTTGTGCCACCGGCCGAGAAACCGGAGAAATTTTCTGGAGCCAACTTCAAAGGATGACAACAAAGGGTGTTCTTCTTGCTTACCACGCTTGGTATGCAGAAGTTCACCAGTGAAGACTCTCCAGTACCTGCCGCCGACATGCCGGACAATGAGAAGTTTATAATTGTTAAGGCGTGGAAACATGCAGACTTTCTTTGCAAAGGGTACATCCTAAGTGCTTTGGAGGATGACTTGTACAATGTCTACAGTGCTATGAAAACTTCGAAAGAATTATGGGACGCACTTGAGAAAAAGTACAAGACTGAAGATGCATGCTTGAAAAAGTTTGTGGTTGCCAAGTTTCTAGACTATAAAATGATAGACGGCAAAACCGTTGGAACCCAAGTTCAAGAGTTTCAACTTATTTTTCACGACCTTATTGCTAAAGATATGGTAGTAAATGAAGCATTTCAAGTGGCTGCAATAATTAAAAAATTACCTCCTTCGTGGAGAGATTTCAAAAACTATCTAAAGCACAAGCGCAAAGAAATGAAGTTGGAAGATCTTGTGATTCATCTCAAGAATGAGGAAGACAACAAAACAGCCGAGAAGAAATCTCGTGAAAATTCAACGATTATGGGAGCTAATATAGTTGAGGAGACTGCTCCAAAAAGTAAGAAGAGGTAGAGGTCTTCTGGACAGACTAAGGAGCAGAATAAGAAAAAATTCAAGGGCAACTGCTACAATTGCGGAAAAGCTAGTCACAAAGCCCCTGATTTTCGTCTCGCGAAAAAGGATAAGAAAAAAGGGGCATGCCAACATAGTGGAGAAGAATGCTGACATTGATGATCTGTGTGCAATACTTTCGGAATTTAACCTAGTCGAAAATCCGAAGGAGTGGTGTATTGACTCTGGAGTCACTCGACATGTTTGTGCTGTCAAAGAAGTATTTGCGACTTACTCTACTGCTAGTCCTGAAGAAGAGCTTTCCATGGGAAATACTGCAACAACCAAGATTGAGGGTTATGGGAAGATATTCCTGAAGATGACTTCCGGCAGGGTGTTAACACTCAACAACGTTCTTCATGTTCCAACTATTAGGAAAATTTTAGTTTCAACTTCTTTACTTGTTAAGAATGGATTCAAATGTGTATTTATATCTGACAAAGTTGTTGTAAGCAAGAATAAAATGTATGTTGGAAAGGGCTACCTCACAGAGGGCCTTTTCAAACTCAATGTAATATTTGTTGACAATATTAATAAAATTTCAGCTTCTTCTTATTTATTGGAGTCAAATAATTTATGGTATATTCGTTTAGGA